CAGCCTGGCCAATGCTCAGACCACCACTACCCAAGATCAGGACCTTCTTCACGGAAACGCGAGGAGCGATTCTGATGTTCTCCTCCTTGGCGCCACCAGGGAAAGAGACAGGCTTCTGAAGAGCGTCCGAGGAAGCCATGGTGTCCTTGATGCTGTTGATGAAGACGTCGAACAGGTATTCGGTATCTCTGGGACCAGGGGTGCTTTCAGGGTGGAACTGGACACTGAAGAAGGGCCGGCTAACGTGACGGATACCCTCGTTACTACCGTCGTTGGCGTTAACGAAGAGCTCCTCCCAGCCCTCGGGGAGGCTGTTGGAGTCCACGGCATAACCGTGGTTCTGGGAAGTGATGTGGCACTTTCCGCTGAGCATGCTAGTGCAGGGAATGTTGTGACCACGGTTACCGAACTTCATCTTCAAAGTCTGGGCGCCGACGGAGCGAGCGATCAGCTGGTGACCCAAGCAAATACCGAAGACGGGAGTCCGGGCCTCCTTCAAGGTCTTGCTGAGGTTGTTGACGGTGGTGGCAAGGGTAGCCGGGTCACCGGGACCGTTCGAGACGAACAGACCGTCATAGTCCTTTCCAGCAAGAGTAGGGAAGTCATAATCCCAGGGAACGACGAGAACCTCAACACCGCGGGCAAGCAAGCAGCGCAGCTGGTTGAACTTCAGACCCACGTCCAAGCAGAGGACACGCACCGGGCGACCGGAGGGGTGTTTGAGGGCGACGTTCTCGGGAGGCGAGAAAAGTTTGGGTTCCTTGATCGAAACTGTCATATACAAGTCAGAAATGATCATTCTCGCCTGAGTTGTGAGTCGAATGCCTACCTTCGGCGACCAGGTTCTTCTTGTTGGGGTCAACCCATTCGATCTGTTCGAAGAAAGGCTTCCAGCTGTCCTTCTCCGTGGGGATAACAGTGGCGTCGCTGACAGTCTCAGACTTCTGGAGCAGCAGACGACCCAGCATGCTACCCTTTTGACGGATGCGCTTGGTGAGAGCACGGGTATCGACACCATGGACGGCAGGAACACCTTGCTCCTTCAGCCACTGGCCAAGGGAGGATTGAGCAAGGAAGTGGGAGTATTCCTCTCCGGCGTAAGTAGCAACGACCAGACCCGCGATGTGAATCTGGGTGGACTCGAAGTACTTGGGAAGAGTCTTCAACAACTCATCCATGGTCTCCCGGGAGGGGACACCATAGTTACCGACGAGGGGGAAGGTAACGACGAGGATTTGGCCCCGATACGAGGGATCCGTGATGGACTCTGGGTATCCCACCATACCGGTTTGGAAGACCAATTCACCGGCGATACTCTTCTCGGCACCAAAGCTGTAGCCCTGGTAGACGGTGCCGTCCTCAAGCTCGACGGCGACCATCCTCCCATTGCTGCCCCGGTAGGGAGCCGAAGCGGGAGGGATCACGGCCCCATTGTGAGCTTCCATCGGGGGAAGCGGCTGCAATTCCTTGTTGATCTGGTTGTAGGCCACTGCGCCTCCAGAGAGAGGGGAGGAGGGGAGGGCAGCCTCCTCGTGACCAGCGGACTGCGGCATTCTGGGTGGTGACTGTGTATGTGGGGGGAGGGGAAAAAGGTCCTCTCGGGGACTGTATGACTGGGGGGTATTCTCTCTACCGTAGCATCAGCAGCCTCCAAGACCCTTTTGAGAAAGATGCAAGAGGGGAGGGGGTAGAGTGATTCTGCTGCTTCTGCACGGGAGGAGGAAGAATATAGGAAAGAGAGAGGAGAGGAGGAGAAAGAAGAATTCTCAAGAATAAAATTTTGTGTACGGCGGGCTTAATGGAGCTCTCTCATTGGGCTGTTGAACTCACCGATCCGGGGATCATGGGCCTTTCTGCTGGCCCTGACCGCCTCTAAAGAAAATTTTTCTCGACATTTTTTGGGGATTTTGAGGGGGTTGAGCACTGGGAGCCTTCGTTTGCTTTCTTTCCATTGCTAATTATGGAGTCTAAGCAATTCCTGTCCGCAATCCGGAGCCAGTCAAGTCCCATCCCCCTCCTCCCCTTCCCTTCCCCGAGTTCCAATTGCTGCATTGACTAATCCGTCACAGCGTGAATGGCATTTTTCCTTGACATCTAATTTACTACTGATATTTCAAATTGAGGGACTGATTTTAATCAGTATGCAATTCATACCCATCTGACGACTCATTCTTAATACGGAGTACATCCCCTGACGAGGATTAGACGGGACAACAGCCACCAATGTGTAACCGAGTGAGGTCATCGCAAGCAGAAAGCTCTTTTCTAGGTTAGTCTCGTATTAGGATTGCAGTTCGGTGGAGGGGGTTGCAGAGAGCGGTTCTGCCGCACACACAGACCTTCCTGCCTGTTAGTGCCACCAGCCCCAAAAAAAACTGCCGAGATGGCCCATCTCCGTCACAGTCAATTGGTTCTTTGGGGGAAAGTTCGCCACACGGATCGACCACGCTTGCAGCCTGTGGCCACTGCAGGCGGTGAGCGCTAGTATCCTACCCGGTTTCTCTGCCTTGGCTTTTGGTTCTGGATCCGGTCCGATGCCTGGCTTCACTTCCCTCCAATCATCGGCCCGATTGGCGCTTTCAGGAAACTCAATGCCAACCCGTTATCGGAAAGTGTACTTTTTTCGGCCTTTCGGTGGGATGCCGTTGGTTGAGTACCTTCTGGAACAAAGAATTTAGCATCTTACAGCTGCTGCGTTGAATCTTTTTCTTTTCCGCTGTATAGTACTCCGTAGACTTTACATATGCAGTATCTGCTTGAGCTCCTTGTTTTAATTTACCTTGAAATCCCCGCATCATGTGGCTATTCCGTTCCCGCATTGTTGGCGGTTTTTGGACGGGTTCCTTGCATTAATGAACAAGTTGACAACCTAACCATCTATCTACCATGTAGAATATTCAATGTCGTCTCATCCATTCTCTCATTATGTGATATTCTATCCAAACTAAAATGAGGTACCATAAATATTTTGTGTGGTCCGCAATTGCATTAAGCACGGAGAAAATGAAGACATATCATTATATATATTTGCACACCGCTTAAATATAGTATCTTCCATTTACCTTTAAATCCATGTCTCAGCCCTATCGGAATTTCTAGGACACATACCTCCGCTTCTGTGGATATATGAAATACGGATTATTATGATGCTAGCATTTGCTCTCGACTTGTGACTACTCGGCCCATTTTGCATTCTATTTGTGTCCTGCAGCATTCGGATCAAGCACATGAATATTCAATGTCAAGGTACGTGGCTGGGAGTTCTCCACGTTCATTTGATTAAAGTGCGCACACTGTGTCAATCACCAGACTCCCTGCTTGATGTCCAACATTCTACGCAAAGCGGCAAGGTGTGGCAGCGTCTCTTTAATAGAAGCGCCGCCCTTCCCCAACCTCCTTGAAGTAGCTGCAGATTCACACTAAGGCTCTAAACAGACTGTAAACAGTTTCCTCGGGCGAGATTCTTCGATCTTCCCTTGATTCGCAAATTCGCGCCTTGGCCATGGCTAAGAATAGCTTGTAATGTCACTCCTCGTGCTCCGTCCGAGAGATTAACGTGTCATATGTCGTTTACTGCCGCGTGATGACTGACGCGTGGGTCTTGAGCACGGTGGCTCGAACATTTAGACATATCCCGATGGCTCTACTGGAAGCTGCCGCATAATCTAAGACTTCATGCCCCGCGTTCCCGACAAGCCCTTCTGCCTTTCGCCGGGACGCTAAACACTTCATTTGGTGGCTGCCCATGGTTAACAGAGATGGTAAGACATTTACGACGAATCCGAGGAGCTGGTGATGCAACAGCTTACCTCACGGCGCAATCCACTTTGCATATTATGCTAGTTTCTGAAATTCTTTGCCGCCTTGATCGAGGTTTTGGGCATTACGAATATTGTTGGGGTAGACTCTTATCTTGGTCTGGGGTCGAGATCTTCGAGATTCCTGCATCAATACTAAGACTCGTCTTATCGGCTGAGATAAGTCCTCTGTTACATGCCCAGAATTCACCAGTTGCTACTGGTGCCTCTGGAAAGTCGGCATTGACTTGAAGGCAAGGTATCAAAACAATGAGCAATGGGGAGAAAGAATAACTTCCGCGAGGATCCAGACTTCGCAAAAGATTCGCGATTTCTCCCTGAATGAGTCGGAATTGGGTCAGATTGAGAATGGAGCCTACATGTCTGTATCGGCCTCCATCTCGGTTATTATTTGACTAAGGTGAGAGTGGCAATCTGAGATTAATCACATCTTACCAACTCATAGCCTCTAAGGTCTGCTGTTCCAACGATCTTCGAGGTTCTTCGCGAAAGGAATAGTGGCGAAGAAAAGACCTATAAATCAGGCTACTTGCGAAGTACAGTACACGTCGGCATAAGTGAGCGACAGCCTGCGACCGTAGGCTTTGGAAGTCAAGGCTGTCATCTTGTTCAGCAGTTGAAAGTGCTTCTTATCTGATGGTATTAGCATCTGGAGGAAGTATAGTTCATCTGGCCATGATGTATAGCGTCTTATTGAACCGTAAATTGCTTGGTCAAAGGTGATGAGTAGGCACGTCGAGAAACATGTCCGAATTGTTCTAACCTATCTCTATAGATTGCACAGGAGTGGAATTTGGCTCTCGTTCCTTGAGTGACAGCTGTTCGCGCCCCTCTTGAGCACAGATCCGCGATCGGGCACAAACTACGGGCGGATGATCCCCGGGGAGTGGGGCTGGACACGACGATGCCTAGTACTACTGATACTGGCACTTTGCCCTTCCTTCCCTTACGATTTCCGAGTACTCCGTGCAGCAAATTTGGACATATACACTGGACATCATGAAAAGGGTTGCGTTGGCTGAACTGGATTAACAGCATGTTCGAGGACGATTTGACAACTCCTGTCCCTCGTCAACTCCGATTTTGGGCCAACAAACATTTAGCGCCATGGACGGCTCCGCAGCTGCAAACCTCTCGCCTTGTCAATCTGATTGGGTCTCTGGGCTGCATGAGCTGAGCTCGCCTGCGACCTGGCTAACACTAACTAGCAGGCAGGACTCCTTTTCCTCTTTATCTGCGTTCTTTTCGCTTCACCATGGTCTACGTGATTTGAGCCAAACGATCTTAGCCAGCTGAGTCTCCTTGCCAAACAAGCCGTCACGCTACATGACCCTTTCTCCTATGGGACTCTTAAACTGTTTCAAGATCTTTACATCGAAAAGGGGAAGGTCGACAGCGGAAGGAGTGAAGGACAGTCCTACTGGAGGACCTTCTTCCTCTGCTACCGCGCCAGCCACCTTCCCTAATGCCCATCCCGTACCGAGACCTTGCAAGATTTCGTCAAGTCCCCAGATTCCGAGACTTACCTCCGAGTCTCTATCAAATGATGATGACAAGAAGACCAACCCCAATGACTCTGACAGCCTTACACTGACGGCGAAGAAGGATGCGGGAGCGAACGACGCGTCTTACGAGAAAGAGGAATCGCTTCCGCCGACGGTCCCCGCCGATAAATCCCCTGAAGACTTGTGGCAAAAGAGCTTTGAGGCCCTGCTAACAGAGGAGCAAGAAAAGCTCAAAGAGCTCATGGTGACACCGGCCGAGATCTGGTCAAATGAGGAGCCAACATCATCTACCTTTACTGGTACAGATGTTCGGACAATAATCGAGATGACTCGGGAAAGGCAGAGGCAATGGAATGATCGAACCTTTAAATTCAAGATCCATGGTCACACGATCGTCCCTCGAAAGTACACAGGGAGTGTTATTGATTGTCTTACTACAGTTGGGGACATCGGCGTTCAATTTCTGCCCCAGCCCGCGAGCATAGTCTGGCCCTTGGTTAAAGGTATTCTGCAGGTATGTTTCAAACACAATTTGTCTGGCAGTGAACCTTGGCTGATGTATTTAGGTGCCGACCAACGCAGACGCGGAAACCGCAGCTGCAGCCATGACAGCAGATATCCTCATCCGGAATATCAGCTGCGGAAGTGCATACGAGGAGATCTATCGTGGGAAGGTGGTCCTCGGGCGATGGGAATTGCTCCGGTCCGCTCTCTTCAATCTCTATGTTGCAGCATTGAAGCTTCTCATCTTCGCTTCGGAGCGTTTCAAAGAGGGTACTGCCTCTCACCTGATTGGAGCCTTTTTGAGCCCCCAGAAAGGGCAGAATCAAGTTACAGATCTGAAGTCGCGTTATTCCGAGCTGCTTGAAATTGTCCAATATTGTCAGAATGAGATAACTGGCCAAATGAGTGAGAATGTTAATGATATTCTCAAAGCACTAGAGAAGTTCCGTGGATTTGATTCATTCGTCGTGGAAAGCTTCGATACCCTCTTTGAGCGAATGGATGAACAACGAGTGTCAGAAATTCTCAACTGGCTTTCGCCCCACAAGCCATTTGACCGCCATAATCCCAAGAAGAAAGATCGAGCGGCCGATACATGCCAGTGGATTCTTCATAATCCAATATTCGAAGATTGGGAGCGGAGCATTTCACCAGAGGTTATCTGGTTGCAAGGGTCCAGTAAGTCTTTCATTTCGAAGAGAAAATGAGAAGTGAATCGATTGAATTGACTATAACCACAGTTGGCACTGGTAAAAGCTTTTTGACGTCTATGGTCATTGATCATCTTTTGAAAACCCAAGAGCCTACTGAGGGACTGGCCTTCTACTACTGTGAACGTAGAGGACAGAGCTTTCAAATATCAGATGATGTGATCAGGAGCCTTTTGCGCCAATTGGCATGCCCACCCGAAAAAGAGTTCCCTAATAGAAATATTAACAAAGATCTTCAGAGTCTCTTTGCCAGGATGAAAGATCAGGAGACCGAACTAGATATCGATACCTGCAAAGAGTACCTGCATCAGTCAGTGAATTGGTATAGCCGAATCACGGTTGTCCTTGATGCTCTTGATGAATGTGACAAGAGCTCAAGACACAAGCTTTTCGAGGAAATTATCGATTTCTTTTCGACTCAATCGAGGCATTCAATTAGGATATTTGTTTCTGCTCGTCCGGAGCCTGATATTATGGCCTGCTTTGAAAAATTTCCCGTTATTGCTACCGAAAATCCGGGTGTCCGAAAGGATATCAAAAGCTTCATAAGAAACAAAATCACCTACCTTTGGGACGATCCGTCGACGAGTATCTCAAAGGAAGTTCAAACAGAGACGATCGATACACTCACAGAGAAAAGCAACGGAATGTAAGCTTCGCTTTTGTATCCAAGCTAACCGTGCCTCCTCGGACGGGCAAATACTGATCCACGAAACAGGTTCCAGTGGGTGAATTTGCAAATTGAACAACTCAAGGACTGTAATATTGACAGTGCTGTTCGCGAACGCCTTGCAATAATGCCGAAGGACTATCAGATGCCTATAACGAAATTTATGCCCGGATATCCAGAGTGCATTCCCAGAAACAGCTCGTGGATTGTGCTTTCAAGTGGGTGATGTGTTCATACACGCCTGTTCGTCCAGAGTTCATTGTGACAGCTGTTCGATTCCTCGGAGACCGCAATGCGCCCAAAGAAGAACTTGACATCAATACACTACTAGGTCTCTGTCAAAATTTGCTTGTAATCGACGAGTCCACAGGCTATCTGAGATTTCCACATGCTTCTGTAGTGGAATTCATCGAGAAAGAATTGTGGGACACGCGAGCGGCGGACTGTTATGCTGTCAAGGCTTGCCTGCAGTCTCTTATGGTCGCGCATGGTGAAGCGGAAGATGATACAACCTACACCACCGAAAGAACAGCCAGGGCACTTGTAGCCGCTGATGATCAGGTATCAACTGATGACCAGGTGTCAACCGATGATTCTAGTACACACCTCACGAACCACTTCCATATGTATTGTCGGTATCATTGGATGCACCATGCTCAACGCTATGAGACCATGGTGTCAAATCCGGAAAACTTTGATAATGGGCTTATCTCATTGCTCAAAAGATTTCTGAATTCACCAACACAAAGCGGACCTTTCTTTCAAAGGTGGTACCGTGACGCTGTGAAGAGCAACCTATTTGCCTATTATCCGATATTGCACGAATTCATATATGAGGGCAGGTTTCAGAGAACCTACAAGGTAATCTCAGGAGACCTCTCCCCGCCGACTCTTCCAATACTTGCTATGTGCTCATTTGGGCTCGATGCAATACTCCTTGACTGGTGGAAAAGTGCTGAAGCACTGTACAACACTGTCAGAAATTCAAACGATGACAGTCTTCTGATTTTAGCGGTGAAGACTAATCATCTCCCGATTTGTCAGAGGCTTGTGGAAAATGGTGCTTCTATTGAGTACGAGGGTAATGCAGGCAATGCCCTATGCTTAGCGGCGGAATATGGTCATAGGGATATTGTGGAACTCCTGGTTCAGAACAAAGCCTCTGTTAATCACGTTAGTCGCTGCCACGGAACTGCTCTGACAGCTGCTGTCTATTATGACCACCTCGATATAGCACGACTATTAATAGAGAAAGGGGCAGGGGTAGGTATCAATCTCTCTGGAGAATCCGGTGGAACCCCGCTGGGGGCTGCAATTATGCAAGATAGTCTTGAAGCCATTCAGTTCCTGCTTGACAAAGGGGCTGATATCAACCAGCTTGGAGACTACCATAGAACCTCTCTTACTGCTGCTGCCTTCTATGGTAATATTGAAGCGGTCCGGCTACTACTGGACAAAGGGGCGGATGTTAATCAACTCGGGGGAGACAGGTTGGGAAGTCCTCTCGCAGCTGCAGCATACATGGGTAACCTTGAAATAATGCAACTTCTAATTGAGAATGGAGCGATTATAAATTTACCGGGAGGGTCCTTTGGATGCCCTCTTGCCGCTGCTGCGGCTCTTAGTGAGACCAAGGCTGCCAGGCTTCTGCTGGACAAGGGTGCAAACGTCAATTTGGTGCTTCCAGGAAGTTATGGAAGCGCCCTTGCAGTTGCTGCATCCCATAAAAATCCTGAGTTTGCTCAGTTCCTGATCGAACATGGAGCGGATATCAATATGACGCTCCCGGGCCACTGCGGAAGTGCCCTTGTTACGGCCGCATTTTGGGGCGTTTTCGATATGGTCCAGCTTTTAGTAGATAAAGGCGCGATGGTGAATCTGCCTCTCGAGAATGGGCTCGTGGGAAGTGAACTTGCTGGTGCTGCCTGGGCAGGAAATGTCGAAATCATGGAGTACCTTATCAGCAAAGGAGCAACAATTGATAGGGCTCTCCCGGGATTCTTCGGAAGTGCCCTGGCCGCTGCAGCATACGGAGCAGAACCTGATTGCGTCCGATTTCTATTTCTGATCGACAATGGCGCAAGTGTCCCTCTTCAACTCGAGACTGGATCACTGGGAAGTGCGCTTGCGGCAGCAGCCGCAGCAGGAAGCATTGAGATTGTTATGTTTCTCATAGAAAAGGGAGCTGATGTCAACCAGGTCTTGGTAACTGGGAAGCACAAAACCGCATTGAGTGCAGCTTCACATTGGGGCCAGATTGAATGTGTGAAGGCTCTACTTGATGCTGGAGCCATTGTGGACCTTGTTTTAGATGATTTCAGTCTCGAGAACCCCGTCGAAAAACCTCTGAATAAGGTCAATAGATATTCTGCGGAGGAAGTAGAGGATTTATTGTATTCATTTCCGTGGGGGAAAAGAAAGGAATCTCAAATGGCGGATGATAAGCAAGAGGTAATGAGCATCCTGAAGAACCACGCCAAGACACATTCTTAGCAAGGCGCGTTTGACTTGATGGGATGCATCGACTGTGGGGGTGGAATCCTGCCTACGACCAAGCTGTATCTAGAGTACAGTAATCTTCTCACATGGTGCATCTAGAGCTATATTGAAGATGTAGCTGCCCATGCAGTGCCATTCAGTAGTCCGTAATTTGAGTGCAGTTCAGACCTAACCCACACAAGTTGTTCCAGCTAAGGCTTGGCTTTGGTCCTGAAATAATCTCAGAACATCCCAAAGATTTTTGTATGCCCTGTAGTGCCGCTGTGAGCGCAGCTATTCTCCGAGCGAGTAACTTGAAAGCAACTGCATGCCATAGGCAAGAGATAAGCACTGCACTATACAAAGACTTGCAGGTAAACTCGAACTCAAACTGTGTGTCTAGATCAATATACCATATTTCTGTCTGCGATCAATTGTCACCTCTTGTCTTAATCATTGAGTTCATAGAGTCCTACTTAATCCTCAGTCCTCCCAATTTATAGTACTACAACTCTACGCACCATTAGTGTCATCATATCCTAAAACCAACAAGCCTGTCAATTCCAACCCTTCCCAGCCTAGTAAAACACCGCAGCATAAACCACCTGCATCATAAGAAACTCCAACGAATACTGCTCCAATATATCAGGCACAAGATCGAGCCAAGCAGGTTTAAACCTGCAGGCGATCGTCGCATTGCAGAATTCCCAGTACTCCGGGAACCACCCAGCACCCTCCCAATCCAGTAAAGTAATCTTGAACTCCGGACATCCGTCACGAACTCCGAGCCTCTCGACCATGATATTCTTCGGCTGAAGGTCACCGTGAGTGAAAACCGGACGGTGACCGGTCAGAGTCCGTTCAATCATAGGTCGCAATAATAAAATGTACTGTTCTGATTCTATTTGGCGGAATCTTTCGATGATGGCAGAATTAAAGACCTCTTGGCTTGTGAAGGGGCCAGAGATTTTCGGATCATCATTGACAGTCCAGAATACTCCATCAAGGTAGGGTTGGCGGTTCACCATACCGAAGTAATCTGGCGATGGTATTCTCCGTAGCTTTGTGATTGCGTCCTTGATTAACTTGCATATCGTGGCCTTTTCGCTCGGATTCACAGATGGCAGCAGTGCTTCGAGGGTGTCGCCAGGGACATGGTCCATGATGATATAGGTTTTCTTAGTGTCCGGGTCCTTGAAAGCTGCATGAACTTTTGGACTTGGGATTTGGTTGTCTTCGAGAAGCTTCATGGTTTCAGCCTCAATGAGCGGTACGCCGTAGCCTGATTTTACTGCGAAGCGCTCCCCCACGCGGAAAACTTGGTCGTATGCATCGGACATGCTTAGGCGCTCTGTTGCAGCTTCGATCTCGGGGACGGTTGGTAGGCGGAGGGTCTCAAAGGCTGTTTCATTTGACATGTTTGACTACTTGTACTCTGTGGTATATTGAGCTTTTAAGGATACAGGTTTATGGCACAGGGGCAGGTGTAAGCAAAGGATGGTCGGCGTTCTGTTTATGTTGAGTTTGTGGTGAACAGCTAATAAGGAGGGGATTAAGAGAGACCCTGGTCCTTGATTAGTAGTACAAACAAGTGACAAAATACTATAGTACTTTCAAAGATAGTATTCCAGAAGATTCATAATCATCGATAATAATTCAATTGGTATGTTATTTACCCAGGGAATATTCCAAAGGGGATAATTTGGAGCTCATCTAATATCAAGTATCGAACAAGCTCTGCCACATGCATCTCTGAACATGGTGCACTGGTATTCCCCGACCCCAGTCGCTTTATATCATTTTTACTCGTCTGGAGTCGAGAAGGACCGGCTAAAGCGTTAGCTGACGACCTCGTTCGCATAATGAACACATGCTGGACTGGGATAGTGACCTCACTCGCAGGCATTACACATTCCACATCGCCTGATTTGTCTGTTGTATATTTTAATGCTTAACCAAGTGTGTCCTAGGGAGTCGGAGATGGATCCGAAAAGGGGAAAGAGCAAGCACAAGGCTTAGGAATCCAAGGCTAACTTGTTACTCACTAGTGGGTTATGAAGAAATTGACACTATTTAGACCAGGGCCACAGGGCTCATGTCTCCTGCGAGCGAGACCACAGCGCACTGATTTTCCGATTGAAGAACCCTTCGGTAATGGCGACTCTTACCAATGATGGGGAGGGATCGCTTCAAGTGCCTGGGTTCGGTTCCATTCCCTTGGATTTTCAGCTCCCGCCAGAGGCTCGCTTTGCGCATGGGTTGTTGGACTACCGCCACACACCTCGGTTGACCAAGCGGGAGATGGCCATGCTGCGTCTCATGCAACAGGTCACGGAGAAACCTGGATGGGATTCTGCCTTACTGGATCCAGATGAGATGCAGATCGCGCAATGGTACCGCGAGGCCACAGAAGGACCGGATGGTCACTTGATCAGCACCGCTGTATGGGAATGGTGCCTGGCGGAACTGCGCGATAAAGCAGAAATGTGGCGAGAAACAGGCCGCATCCTGGTCTTTGACAGTTCCTCGGCTGTGTGTCTTGCCGATGTGTGTCTGTCAGATCAAGGGTCCCTGTCCCTATCTTTGAAAGAAGGGGTCCAAGCGGAGATAGACCGACTGGTGGCCCCACACCCGCAGCCCCAGACCCTACATTCAATATAATCGCTTAGTGGATCCATTTTTATGTCCCCTTGTCTACAATCAGTCTCGAGTCCTGGTACATGGGGGACGGACCTCCCTTGACAATTACCTCTGGGGTTCGGCCGACGAACCTGCTGGAGAGCTACCTCCTCATCCCTTGGGTCTTCCCCAAGACCGGCCCAATAATTTGGATCGCAGGCCTGGTCATGGAGGACCGGAGAGCTGCTGGTCGAACCGCTTCCAATGGCTTCCTTGTGAGGTGAAGTTCAATGACACTGACCCCCTGGATGTTCGCATTACTTCATACGTCAATAACCTTCACCCGGGAAGGCACCAGAAACTGTATAGGTATCTTGAACGCCTCATAGCAAGCTCCGTTCCTTCCTGGAATGAGATCCTATTTTACGGCAATACCCGTGGCTGTCGCCCACCACGTATCCTGACATATGGATGCGAGATTCATAACTATAAAGAAGAGCACAAATTGTTCGATGCTCTGCATTACGGGCCCCGCTGGCAGCTACAGTGTGACACCTACGAAGAGTGGGAAATACTGCGCAACACAGCTCGTGAGTACATTGAAGGCCCTGAACCACCCAAATGGAAGCAGGTGGAGCCCTTGCCTGACAAGCCCGCCAATTTGATGGATCTGCTCACTCCCGATCAATGGGATGTTCCTACCCACATTTATCGGGTCGCTGAATTCAAGCGCACTCGTCGAGCTTGGTTCTATCACCCAGAACCCGGTGTCTCGTTTTCGTACCAACAGTGGAAGCGGGGTGAATTTACAGGACGTGCAATCCACGCGCAGGGAATCAGCAAATACCCGGATCCGCTACACCATGACCGCAAGCTTATTCAATTAGAGAAACAGTTTCAAGATAAGGGTTTGCAGGTTGTAGTGGAAATTACCCGCATCGAAATACACCCCGACAATCCCATCTATAACGGGGAGAGGCATTTCCACACCGAGGGACTCCGCAACGACCGGATAGCAGCCACCAGTCTGTATGTTGTGGAGTGCAAGAATCTCACCCAAGTCCGCTTGGCCTTTGAGCACGAAGACAAAATCCACGCCTCAGAGCTCCAGTGTCAGGTGCCTAAAGCACTTGTCGCAGTTTATGATGTAAATTTCCCGGAGCGGTACGAGGAGGAGGCCCCTTGGGCACTGCACACTTTCGGGTCGGTCCCGCTCACAGAGGGCCGTCTTCTCAGCTGGCCCAATACCTATCGATCGAAGCTGGAGCCCTTCCGCTTAGTGGACCCCAGACAGCCGGGGAATCTAACCCTGATCAAGCTTCGGCTCGTCGATCCACATTATCGTATCTGTTCAACGCAGAATGTTCCTCCGCAGCAACATAAGTGGTGGGCTGCTGCAGCCCGACAGGCAGCTCGGCTCGATCAACGCTTACCTCTGGAGCTGGTGTGGTCTGTAATGGATCAAGTGAGAGACTGGCCAATGTCCGCAGAAGAGGCCGAAGAGCTACGCATAAAATTGCTATTTGAGCATGAACGCGTGCGGCGGGTCATTGATTCGTGCGTGGGACGCCATCTCGCTTACGATGGAGAGAGATCACGATATTTGAGCGATCTAGTGTCCGAGGCCGGTTATGAGTCTCCTTAGACGCTGCTGTAGGGCCATACTTAGTGTCTCTGAAATAGAAATAGGCGTCAAACGCCTGCATATCTAGCGCCGGCATTGTTTCGATTTGTTCAAGCGCACCAGACGGCGTTCAGACGGCGCCAACTATAGCGCTTACCACTATTTTCCCATTAGTAAAATCGCATTGGAAAACTTAACCCCATAAGGTAAAAAAGTCCTTTTAGTAGAACAGGAAGTCATTCTACACCAAATGCCAGCGACATGCCATAGATACTGGGAGTGCGTTCCAAGCAATATCAGCTCATACAACAACGATAACATCCCAAACCAATCTAATGTACCACAACCGTATGGGATTTATTCCCCATTGTGACAAGATGGTCCGACTCTAAAACCATTTCTCCTTATAATCAAATCCCTTGAAATACTCCACACTCTCCACTCAAAACTAAGATCCCACAGCCCCTCATAGCCAGGAGCAGAGATAAACATGAAAATGTAGCAACCAAACCCAGCAACAACTCTCGCTTTTCCTAGTGTAGTGCAATGCCGCGAAGGCCAAGTAGATAAAGCGTGTCCCTGAAATATACCTATCCACCTTTTCCCAAACTTTTGGGGTATTTCGCAGATACGGAACGGATGGATTTGCCGAGTGGAAGATAGGGGTAATCAAGTATTTGCCTAGAGGATTGATGAAGTAGTCATATGCACCCTATTCGAGAGTTGCTTTGTCGAGCACGTAACTGTCAGCGCCTTTGATGAAAGTGGATAGTGGATTATTATCGGAGAAAGTCAAGTGCGATTGGGGTTGTTGTAGGGGATTTGTGGCGGCGTAGACAAGTAAATTGGCGGCTAGAAGAGAGAAGAATATATGCAAGGTAAATGTTGAATACATTGTGCCTTGAGTTGATATTCGATGACACGGCTGTATAAGAGAGGACGGTGTGTCTGTCGCGAATAGTAGAATATTATTGTCAATGTTCGATCATTATATCTACGACTTTGACATACACGACGTCATGTTAAGCCGTAGACTATATGTCTGCTCAGAAGTTAGCTTGATGACGCCTATATCGAAGTGTAAATCATACTATATGTGGCTGTGGTCGGCCACTTTGAGTTTTGAGATTTTTACCTCAGAAGCTATATATTTAGTTATGTTCGAATAAGTCCAATTTAGGTGAGTACATTAGAGTAACTTTATCAGTATAATTGACTTTGGTATTAAATATATCATGAGTAGGCTTGAAACAACACTATCTTGCTTTCGAAGGTTCCGTGGTTAGGGACATAGTTTTTTACATAGATCTGAAGCATGATGTTATCTGAAATACAATGGTGATTATACTTTGTAACACAATCATCCCACAGATCCTGGGCAGATCAATGTATCGTGAAAGAACTAGTAATCGGTCTTGTCGGAGTTGACTGCTTATCAATCTATCCGGTCATTTGCACCGGTACTTTTATGCAGGCTTCTTAGAGTGTCACAATGTATGCTGCATAGCGCTCAAAGTGTGTCTTTGATTGCTGGTCAAAATGAGAATTCCCTGTTTGCGTAATGTTGCTTTTGCGCTTGATTTGATTTCATTGAATACCTGGGGATTGTTTTCAGTATCAGGTGCATTTGTAGCGAGTCATATGCATAGTTCATCATGAAGATCATGGGCTCTCAGTCTTGCTGCAGTGGGTGTCAAAGGGCATTGAATTAAATAAGGAATAAAGAAACAAACTTCCGTTTCTTTTTGCGATAAATGCAGTGAAAAAGAGAATTCTTTACCTATAAGTACAAGTCTAAGCGAGGTATAAAATTCACCTGTAATAATATACTTACATTATAAATAAGCTCGAAGATTATTTTTTTTGCATGTGTATTCCTTAGAGGCAGATATTCTACTCCGTATAGTAATCGACTAAAACATGATGAATACCTATGATCTGAAAATTCAGCTCAGTCAAGTGGTATCATCCCTTGCGCAATGCATTGATAGACATTCTTTATCACTGTAAATGGTAAGGTTGTTTGCCACCCGCACCGTCACATACTTGTTCCGATAAAGAAAAGTGGCGGGGTTCCCAGAGATCTCCATCTTATGATCAGTGGGAGATTTTTTAGTACGTACATCGGGAAAAAAAGTACGATGTTTTTTTCACCATAAACTAGACTAACGGGTCGGTTAGCGGTCTGGCCAGATTGTGCCGTTCCAATGATCTAAAGCACACGCCAATGACAGTTCAGGTGCGGAATACTTATCGGACGCTAGCTCTCGAGCTCGTCTGATTCCCTGCGATCGCCGCCTCCGCTGCTGCACTCACTGCAGGCGCATGTGGGCTGCGTTAATTTTGGGGGCAAATCGTTTCAAACGCTTCGGCAGCTCTCCCTGCTTATCTCCCCCCGTTGAAAATACCTCGTGAATCACGCGAACCTGCCAGGTTTCTTGCCCACCTTGGATTAACTGCTCCAACAAAACCCTCCTAACTCTTAAGGCCTTCTCTTTGCTCACTCAGTTTCTGAGTGACGCATTGTTGTTTTTTTTTGCCTTTTTCTGCCTTTCTCTGCCTTGGTTTTTGGCGCGTCCCCAACATGCAGTGACGGTAATCTTTAAACCCGCCCATTGTTGCTGAGACTTCTGGGGACGACCATTTCCAAAATGCTTGCCTCTCTTTTGCGCCCCAAGAAAAGACGAGTCTATGCAGAGCGGTCGCCATTCTCATCGCCGTACACAACCCCCGATTCCCAATGGCCTTTCCTACAGGAAAATGCACCTCAGCGAGGCCTTGAGCCAGGCTATGAAGAGATCAACGGGTACAGCGGCACCCATGAGGGGCCTGGCGCAAGATCTGAAGATGATGCCGACGAAGAAGATGACGAACCCGTTGAGTCCACGCCTCTCCTTCCGATATTTTCTGCGTCGCATCTAGGTACAGATACTCGCCCTATCATTTAAAATCCCAATTCATGTTCGCATGCTGACTTTCTAGACACTCTGCCGGTTTATGACATCACCCATGCCATCCGTCCTCTCATTGTTGCTCGATGCGAAACCACCCTGACCTGGGACCAATTGCGCTCGCCACAAATCTCTCAATTCTTGGTCAAGCCTATTCAGCAGAAGATTCGAACGTTGCATTTCTCCCGGGCTACACTTTATGCGCTGATAACGAACTGTCTCCAGTTCTCGAAGGAGGTCCATCTGAATCCCGGCAACAGCGGCGTGAGCCAAACTAGGGCCATGGTCAGCGAGCTTCTCGCTATCAAGTTGCTGAGAGAATATTCGACGCGGGAATTGATTGACGCGCTTTCCTATGAATTCTATCCTCTCAACGGTCAGACGCCAACGGCAACTGTAAGCTCCGATCGAGCACCTGGCTGGTATTCTACGCCAGGAAGCAAACGTCCTGCTATCGCTCGTGTTTCTTGTCTCGAAGTGGCCATCCGCGCTCAGGCGAAACGGTTCTTGTCGCATCCTCTGGTGGTACAACAACTCGAAGCGATATGGGCTGGCACGATTGTCTTCCATTCTGCATCTGATTACCTCCATCGCTCGCCCGCACAAGTCAGGAACAATGGGAGGCTGCAGTATGGTACCGCTCCTGATCCTTCTCCCCTTGGCACGTCGCATCGTCAGCCACAGCCCAACGTATCTGGACTTCGACGTTCTGTCACGATTTACAACCCAAGGGATGCCTCATTGTTCAAACTTTCACGGTTACGTGTGCCTCGATACAGGCAGTTCCTGTCCACTTTGTCATTTGCGGTTCTGCTGGGATTGTTCCTGGCTGTGTTGAACCAACGTCGCCTCGAAATTACTCCGCTGGAGGTTATCTTTTGGCTTTGGAGTGCTGGCTTTATGCTCGACGAGATTGTCGGGTTCAACGAGCAAGGTTTCAGCTTGTATCTCATGAGCTTTTGGAATCTTTTTGATCTCGGTATCCTTTTCCTCCTTTTCTGCTACTATTGCATGCGACTTTATGGTGTCATCCTGCCCTACACTCGCAATCATATTGTGGCAGACCAAGCGTATGACATCTTGGCCGCAAATGCAGTCCTTCTCTTCCCGCGACTTTTCTCGGTTCTTGACCACTACCGCTACTTTTCTCAACTACTTATTGCATTTAGAATCATGGCTTCTGACCTTATCGCGGTCTTCCTTTTGATTATTATTGCTTGCAGCGGGTTTTTCGTGGCATTCACACAGGCGTTTGGCAATAGCGATGATCATTCTCCTGGGGCTGTCGCGTATGCCTTGTTCCAAATGCTCATGGGGTTTACTCCAACAGCATGGAGTCTTTGGGACGAATACAATATGCTGGGCAAACTTATCCTGACAGTATTCCTGTTCATTTGTCACTTTGTCGTCGTCACCATCCTCATCACCGTTTTGACGAACTCCTTCATGAGTATTGTGCAGAATGCCAATCAGGAGCACCAGTTTCTCTTCGCCGTCAACACAATTTCTATGGTCAAGTCGGACGCACTTTTCTCTTATGTCGCCCCGACCAATATTCTTGCTTGGCTGATCACCCCGCTCCGTTACTTCGTGCCATTCCGCGAATTCGTTCGGATTAATCGCACTATCATCAAGATTACTCACTTACCAATCCTATTTACAATATGTTTCTACGAGAAAGCGATACTGAGTTCTCAGGTAATCGATTCAACCGACTTGATTGAATCGACATCTCGAGGTGATTCATCAGACCGCTTTCGAGCCCGGCGTCGATTTAGGGCTTTCAGCTCGCAGATTCGACCCTTCGTCCGAGAACCATCAGTTGCCACATACCAGAAAGACCGCGCTCTGGACGAGGTGTTTCGACGGCCATTCCGAGACGCAACAGCTAGACGTCCTACCGCCGCCCTTGATCGCAGAGGAAGCCACAGCGTCGTCAACAAGTGGATGCAGACTATGGGATCAGGTTCTGTTAACCCCCCTGATGAGCAAGACTCAGAGGAGGTCGAGCGGCTCGAGAGGTTTCCCCGTGGTCGGACGGGCTTTCGCCGGACGTTTACCAGGAGCTTGCGCGACTTTACCGAAACGAATCAGTCCGCTACATCCGACGCTGACCGTCCTGCCCATGTAGCATCCTCACCTGCGACACCACGTAATGGGAGAACTTTCTTGACTCCAATGCGAAGCAGACAGTTATCGCGAGTTACGGGTATGGAAGGTGATGATGAACTCACAAGCGATGACAATGGCGGATGGGCTGGAGAACAGAGATCGGGTGCACTGGATTCCGAGGACGATACGCCCAAGACCACCAGACAAAGTCCGATTCATACGCCACCCAAGCACTTCAGCTCTCGGCCATCAACTGCCCGACTCAAATCTCGCAAGACCAGTCCCGCGCGGCGGATCAAGAACCACACGCGAAATTACTCGGGCGCCACTATGCTGTACAACCCGATCCCTTCAGAGAACGATCACGAAGCCGCCAAAGCTTCACCTGGCCCTGTCCGGCCAAGAGCGGAGACTCCTGATCCAGCAGGCGGGGCTGTTCTGTCTACCTCTGCAGATCAGTGGACGCTGAAAAGACATATTGCGAATGGTAGCAGGCTTAGAAACGTGACCATGACCCGATCTGATCCAATGTCTGTTCCGGATGTGGGTGGCTTTTCGGTACCCGATTCACACTTCCAGCGGCGCCGTCAAGCGTCCATCCTTGATGGCTTAGGTTCAGACCTTGGGGACAACAAGGCGATAGCGAACGGTTTTTCAGGCGGTGTTCCTTCAAGCCTCACCACACAGATAGCCTACGCGACAGGTAATATCCGACGTCCCGACAGCCCAAGTAGTCAGGATATGCTCAGCAAGCTTGTACTGGCACGGATGAACAATATCGAAGAAGGCTTCCGTGAGGTGATCAAGGAAGTGAAAGACCTCCGACGTGGAGGAACTAGCCGGAGCGAAAGCCGGGTTGATGAACAACGAGGCGTCCTGCGTGAGAAGAAAAAGCGTCGCCCAGATAAAAAGGAGCCAAATAAGGGTCTCCAAGGATCTCGGAAGAGCAAGACGAGCAGCGAAGGGCAGTGGTCGGACGAGCTGGCATTCGAGAAACGCAGAGATGAAGCCAGTGGGGATGAAAAACTTTAAGTTTGGTGCAGCTGTTTGGGCGTTTAAAGCTCTCAAACTACGATTTTCTTGTATCTGTTC